CCCAGTCACTTAACCAGGCCCAGCCAAGTTGACACACAAACCTAACTACCACAGTACATATTTTAGAGGAATAGGAGTCATGACATGAATAAATATTTACATACACATGTTCATCTCAGCGTTATTCACAATAGCAGAAAGATGGAAACAACTTTAGTGCCCATCAACAAATGAATAGATAAACAAACTATGGAATATTATGCAATGTTAAAGAATAGTGATGAATACTCAGAACATCTCACAAAATGGATGAACCTGGAGGACATTATGCGAGTGATGTAAGTCAATATGTGAGTGATATAAGTCAATTGACTTATATTGTATGAGATCAGAATTATGAAAAGTCAAGAAAAGGTTTACACATGGAAAAACATATTCTTTGATGGTTACCAGGGATGGGAGGGGTAGAGAGGGAAAATCACTAACTAGATAGTAGATATGTATTAACTTGGTTTAAGGAAAAGGCAGTACACAATAAGGAGAATGTGATGGTTAAGGTTGTATGCCAACTTGGCTGGGCCATGATTCTTAGTCGTTTGGCAGCTGAGATGTAGTTTTGCAATTATACAATGATGTGATCACTTCTATGATTAGATCTTTTATGAGCAGACAATCGGTTGAAAGGGAGTTTCCTTGGTGATGTGGCCTATATCCAATACATATGCACATTTTGGCAAAGCTCTCTGACTTTGCTCACTCTGGATCCTGCATCTGGCTTGTTATCTTCTGACCTCTGGTTTTTAGAACTTCAGCCAGTGGCCTGCTGTATTGCCTGTTAATTTTGGGATTTGTTAGCCTCTGTAGCCCATGAGCCAGCAGCCTGCCATCTGACCTGCTCATCTCAGGTTCGTTAGCCCCTGCAGCTATGTGAGTCAGGAGAAGCCTCCAGCCTGTCATCTGATCCATGGACTTGGGACTTGACAGCCTCGTAACTTCATGAGCCATCTCTTCCTATGTATACATGCATCTGTATGCTTCACTAGTTTTTCTTCTTTAAAGAATCCAGCCTAAGACAAGGGAAGTAAGCACGACACAACCAAGACAAAAGAAGACACTGGGAAGTACACAGGAGTAAAAGGCAACAACAGTAAATACTATTACATACACAATCCTGCAATAATAATTTATGAATAGATGCGCAGGGAGATATGTAAGATGAACAAGTATAGGATAGCATATAGGAGTATACCCATGAGTGTATTATATAGGTTTGGTAGAGGATATTTCTGCATATGTATTTGTGTGTTCTGCAAATATATCCAGGTGCATAGTAGAGTATGCAGGGGGCAAAGTTATGGAAATGTTTTAACCATGACCAAACATCTTGAGGGGGACTGAGTCACTGGGCTTTAGGGTTTAGGACCATAGTCTCAGGGGACATCTAGCTCAATTGGCATAACATACTCCATTGAGACAGTGTTCTACATCCTACTTTGGTGAGTGGCCACTGGGGTCTTAAAGCTTGCATATGGCTGTCTCTTCCTGTCCAGAGCAAAGAAGAGTGAAGAAAACCACAGGCTCAAGGAATCAGTTAGTCCAAAGGGACTAATGGACCACATGAACCACAGCCTTCCCTAGCCTAAGAGCAGAACTCGATGGTGGCTGGCTACTGCTACTGACCTCTCTGTTTGGGATCACAGTAGAAGGTCCTGGACAGAGTGGAAGAAAAATAGTAGAACAAAATTCAGATTCATAAAAAATCAGACTTACTGCTCTGATAGAGATTGGTGGGACCCCTGAGACTGTGGCCCTTAGATACTCTTCAAACCTGGAAATGTCCTACCTCCAGGGATCATCTTTCAGCCAAATAACAGACAGGCTTATAGAGTGTATAAGACCAAAAGAGCAACATTTGCTCCAAAACAAAGTTCAGAAGACAGGAAGTGGCAGGAAAGATGGGCAATGGAAACAGGGAACTCAGGGAGGAAGTGAAAGAGTGCTGTTACATTGAGGAAATTGCAACTAATGTCAGGAAACAAAATATATACAAATTCTTGAATAGAACTAATTTGCTCTATAAACTTTCACCCAAACAATCTATCAAACATAAAATAGTACTTATGAAAATTGTGTCATTCACTGTGCAAGTTTCTGTGTGTTCATGTTTTTAGCAAGCATTTACTAAATGCCTGTGAGGCTAGCATGGTTGTAGATTTAATTGGTTGTCCCAGCCCTCTGGACATTTATTAAGTAGGGGGTGAATGAGCTATAGAAGGAGCCCTAGTGGTGTAGTGGTTAGGCACTGGCTGCCAACTGAAAGGTCAGCTGTTTGAACCCACCAGCCACTTCATGGGAGATTGATGTGGCAGTCTGCTTCCATAAAGAGTACAACCTTGAAAACCCTTTGGGACAGTTCTACCCTGTCCATATGGTCTGTGTGGTCACTATGAATCAGAATCGACTTTATGGCAGTGAGTTTGGATGGGCTGAGCTATAGACACATTCAACACTTAGATAACAATATCAGAAAGACTATGAATAAGAGTTAAAATTGGCAGAGCAGGCAGTATATGCTATAGGGTGGCCCGAGAACGTGAAATCAGAGTGTATTAGGATTGAGTTGGGCCTTGAAGAATGGGTGGGATTTGAATACCAATACAAAAGGAAAGGATGAGCAAAATCTTAGAGCTGGGAACTTAAGGGGCAAGTTGGGGGACAGTGATGGCCTGACTGGGGCAGTGCATCACAGTTTGCACAGGTAGGCTGTACATGGGCTCTACAGTCAGTCTGCCTGAGCTTAAGTACTTGTGTCTCCACTTGCAGTCTATGAGTCCTTGATCAAGGTACTTAAATTCTGTATGTCTCAGTTTCCTTTTTGAAAAGAAAGATAGTAATAATTCCCACCTGTTGGAGTTGTTGTGAGAATTAAATATGATGACATGAGGCACTTAGCACAATATGTATATATGGTCAGTGCTTGAAAAGTACCGCAGTTATTACAACTGCTAGATTACATACCCTTAATGCCAGGCTAAAGAGTTTTCACTTAATTCTGTAGCCATTGGGAGGCACTGAAAGTTTTTATGTAGAAAAGGAAGAGGATGAAAATCATTTTCAGGAAGATTCATCTGGTAGCAATAAGGAGCTTGCTCATTAGCAGAATGAGAAGGGGATTGGGAGAATGATTGGAAATAAGAAAATTGAGGGAAAGAAGCACATTCAGGAAGAAAGATGTGAGTTGTATTTTGTAGATTAGTTTATAGTTGATTGTCCACTGTACTAAATGCTTTTTTTTTTTTTTAGGAGTAATCTTTCAAGATGTCAATATCTTCAGTTTTATGATTAGGTCTAAAAGTAAAAAAATAAAGCAAATAATTCTTCAATTGATCTTAGGTACAATTCACATTCTATAATTTGAAATCCATTTTGAATGACTTCTGGTATTTAAAAGTCACAGACCTTGAACAAATTTTGCTGTAACTTTTCTGAAAAGAATTTGAGTGTTACTGGTTTGGAGTTTCAGTGGGGGTTTCTTTCCCCATAGTATCTGTTTAGTTTGGGGGTCTTAGGTTCTTGGAGGAATTATATCTAAATTGTCATGAAGAAGACTATAAATAGTAACAGCATATTTTCCAGATTGGTGCTGGAATGAGGAGTGTTGGAATGTCATGGTAGTGTCTTTATGGAATATCAAAATCACAAACCACTCAACGGAAAATTTAACATTTGTTTAATTCAGACTTAGTGATTACAGTTAGGATCCCCCTGATGAGGTTTAAGGAGTTGAGGACTCTGCTTCAAAGAGTTTCGTCCATACTGCTAAAAATTGTATTTTTGAGCTATTAGAGATGGATTTCAGGAGCTCTGGTAGCATAGTGGCTAAAGCACTTGACTGCTAACCAGAAGGCTGGTGGTTCAAACCCACCAGCCACTCCTCAGAAGGAAGGTTGGGCAATCCTACTTCTGTAGTGATAATGCCTCAGAAACCCAAGGAGGGGTGGCTATGAGTCGGGGCCGACTCGACGGCACGTAACAACAACAACAACAGAGATGGATTTCGTTGGATTTTAGAGGCTTGGAACTTTTTTTTTTTTTTAAGTCTTCAAGAGTCCCCCATTAAAAGAAATGTACATGTATCCTCTTAGAAGAATTAGTTGACAATTAGCTCAGAACTCTGAAGGGATTGAATGGAACTTTTATGGAAAAGTGGGGGTGAAATTTTGCTAAGAGAGGGTCAAAGTATGGAGGAGGGTGTAGAAAGTGGAACCAGAAATAAACTTTTAATAATCCATAATTGCCCAAGGCAGGCACTATTTCCATTACTTATAAAAACTGTATATTTATTTACTATGATTTTAATGATGGTTTAAAAGTTTTTACCTCTCTGATACTCTGTTTCCTTATAGATACAACATGTTTTTCTGGGGTTTTTGGGATATTTTTAATTAGCTCTCTGTCCTACTTTCAGACCACTCTCCCAGTTTTTATTTGGAAAATATGGTAACTATACTTTTCTAAACTGATGTGACTGATCTACAAAAGCTTGACATTTTAAAAATATGATACCTAATTCACCATTTATTGCACTGAAAACTGAAAGATTGATGCTTTATTTTATTTCATTATTATTTACTCTATTTCCTAATATTTTCATGTGATGTTTGCAGACTGAGATGGGGAATTAAAAGGCTCTGTGTGGCCATAACATTTGCTCAGGAAAATTCACAAATATTATTTAAATCAGAGATTTATTAAAACAATAAACTAAGTTTCTATTCTACAGGTTGGTTAATGCTTAGTCTAACATATTAAAAGGAAGAAAATAAACATGTAGCAGTGATAGTATGCAATCTTTTCCCCAATACTTTAGTAAGTATGGATTCCTTTTCAGCTGGATGGAAATAACATTTCAACCCAGACTTCTTTGGAGAATTTCAGTAAAGAATGTGGCAAAAGTTACAAGCCCGCCAAAAAATTCTTTTCACCCTTGGAGAATCCTCACAGTAGATTTCTTTTGTAACCGTCAAACTGGATTGAACTACATTTGTGTATGCATGTGTTTAGTATCTTTTGGCTCCTTCCCTTCCACTCCTCTTCTTCTTTAATTTGCGGTGCTTAGCTTTCTTAGAGAGAGGATGATGGGACACCTGCTTCAGGTACTTTGTCATCATTGATGTGGCCAGCAGTCTGCAGAGTAGTTGGTCAATGTCATAGATGGACAGGCTTTCTAGATCATTACCAGATGTTTCTAAGGAGGCTTGTTTTTTCAACTAAAGGGGGAAAAGTGAATGACATTATAGACTTTTCTTTCTATAATCAATAAAACACCAAACTCACTGCCATCGAGTTGGATCTGACTCATAGCGACCTCACCTTGGGTTTCTGAGGCGGTATCACTACAGAAATAGTTGCCCAATTTTCCTTCTGAGGAGTGGCTTGTGGGTTTGAACCACCAGCCTTCTGGTTAGCAGTCATATGCCTTAGGCAGTATACCACCAGAGCTCCCTTTTTTTTTTTCTATAGTTCAAATTAAATTTGTTTTCTGGATCTATAAACTTAAACTCTATTAAAATGCTCTAAACATCAATTATTTTTACAAGAGAAAGGTTATTATAGAAGAAAGATGAAAAGTACAGAAGATACCTTCTTCTGAGTATGTCCCAAATAAGATTATAGTGACCATCACCACCATCAGCAAACATTTAATTGGTACTTTCTAAGGGTAGAGTACTTTGCTGGGAGGAATTATTTGAATATTAGCAAAATATATTACCATACTAAACAGCCTCAAAGTACACTAATACAATAAGGTTACAATCATTTTAAGAATAGGAAAACATAAATATCTAATTGCTCTTTATGTCTGTAAGTTTTCAAGATTGCTACAAACTTTGGTTCCATCTATTGGCAAAGATGAGAAATTAGTTTATGGCTCCATTTCCTAAATAGTTATAACATTAGAAATTCGTTTACAGTCCATTTAAAAAATGCATGCTAAATTTGCTTTCTTAGATCTGGAACAGATCTAAGAAAGATTTTTTTTGTTCCAGGTTCTTCATTTTATGGATGAGGAAGCTGAGAAAGATCAAATGACTCTAAGGGCAAAGACAGATAACTCTGTATCTGTCCCTTCTACTCATTTCAGCTCATTACTTTCTTGATGTATTTAATGACTTGAAATAGATGGATTGGGCTAGATGATTTAAGGACTTTCTAATTCAGTGCACATTTGTTGAGCATCTAGTATATGCAAGGCTCTATGCTAGATTCTGGGGATCAGTGGGGAGTCAGGGAAGATTGAGATGAGTAAGACATGGTACCTGCCCTTAAAGAAATTGATGATCTTATGTCTTAAACTTTCGTAGATTCTGTAACTGTTAATATTCACATCACTAATTCACCTTTTTTGTGTGTTTCTTCCATTTCATCCACAGGTAATGCACAGATAAAACAGACAGGATTAAAATGAGAGCTTGAACTAAAATATAAAACAGATGTAAACAACCTTGAAATATATCCATGTTGGCAAAATTGCAGCATAATTTGTTCAGAGGGTAGGGTAGGCAGTGAGATGGAGAAGGCTTAACTTTCAGATAATGCACTTCTTCTGGAAAAATCTCCCACCCAACCTTTGTCCAGATAGTTCCGTCACAAATGCAGAAGCTCTCTCTGAAGAAGCCGATAAACAGCAGAGGAAAAATCAGAGATAGTCTTTGAATGGACATTTTTCTTTCTTAGTTGGAATAAAAAGCTATAGCCAAAAATTGCTTCAGTCATGGCATTTCAGATAATCTTGCTATTCAGCAAAATATGCATAGCAAAATATGCACTAGTGACCATTGTAACATCATCAGTCATACTGATTCAGGAATAAGTTCAGTGACATCATAAAGAACCACATTGGAACTAAATGATGTCACCTAGTCAGTTACCTTGGATTTTTCATGGGTGCTTTTTGTTGCTTTTTGCCAGAATGGTTTGAACTTGTTCAATTTGTGAAGGAATAAAGACATTACTAATATTTTACCAGCTCATACATTCAAACTGTAATCATATTAATAGAATTTGGTGGAAACAGTTTACCCACATCCCTTCAACCCCTCTTCTGAAGTATGGCAGCTTTATATATGCTTCCAAACTAGCTGTATCATTTTCACACATCCTAACATCTGCTTCTTCACTTTTCTCACTGTGAAATGCCTTTCCTTTCAAAGAATTCAACAAGCATTGAATGCCTCGCTCCATTTTGATATGTGTTCCTTTGGTGCTATCAGGTACTGAGAGAAAGTATCATGGTATATGATAAAAAAAAATGAGAATCTTTTTGACTTGACTTTAAGGAGAATCTTGACTTTAAGGAGCTTACAGTCTAGAGGTAAAAGCAAAAAATAAGATAAAAATAATAAGATAGACTGAAAAGTGAGCTAAATCAAATTACAATTATGTAATAGTTCATAGAGGAATGAGTTCTACCTTGGAGGAACTAGGAAGTTTCAGGGAGGAAATATGTATGAGCTGGGTCTTGAAAAGTGAGTAGAATTTTGGTAAGTGGCACATGTGGAGAGGGCATTTTATAAAGTTGAATACACAGAATGAGCTGTGTAAATATTCCTAAAACAAATACTAATTGAGCACGTATAATGTGATAAATATTATTCTAGGAGCTGGGGATAAAAAAATGGCCACAAAACAGAATCTTTACCTTCATGGAACTTACTTTCTACTATGGAGTACACAGACGATAATGATATCTATCTAAATCTGTGTTTATCTATGGAGTACTGTGGAGAAAAAGTAGAGTGAGAAGTAGATTAGAAAGTTGGCAGCTAGTGAGTGAGTGAATGTGAGTGTTATTTTTTAGAGGACAATAACGAAAGGCCTCTGTGATAAGATGATGCTTGGGCACAGACCTGAAGGAACTGAGGAGTGAGCCCTGTTAATATCTGGGAGTAGAGGGAACAGGAAGTGAATAAAGGGTAGAATCTCTGGATGAGCATTAGAGGGGATGGACTTGCAAAGATAGTTTATCACTCGATTGATCTCGAAGTGCCCTGTACTTTATTCAGAAGGAAACAAGGGTCATTTATAGAGTTTTGAAAAGAGGAGTGACATAATAATCATTAAGTGCTTTACTCTGTGCCAGGTAAGCTACTTGCATGAATTATATTGCATTTTAATTTAACTAATTCTCACAATCCTATGTGGATTGTACTATTCTACCCCCATTTTACAGATAAAGAAAGTGAGGTTACATTGATTAAATAATTTAAGGTATGGTAGAATTAAAGGTTTCAGCAGAGCTTCCTGGCTTAGACAGACTTGGAAGAAGGAAGAGGCCATCCACTTCTCAAAGAATTGGGTGAATGAAAACCTTATGAATAGCAGTGAAACACTGTCTGATATATTACTGAAAAACTTTATGAACAGCCCTGAAACATTGTCCAATATAGTGCTGCAAGATGAGCCCATCATGTCAGAAGGCACTCAAAATTTGACTGGGGAAGACCTGACTCCTCACAGTAGACACAACCTTAACAATATGGATAGAATAAAACTTTTGGGACTTCCATTGGATGATGTGACTCCACTCAAAATGAGCAGAAACAGATGGAAATATCCATTAATAATTGGAACATGGAATGTATGAAGTATGAATCTAGGAAAATTGGAAGTTGTCAAAAATGAAATGGAATGCATAAAGATCAATATCCTAGGCATTG